TGCGCAACATCCGCACACATGCTTATCATCCTCATCATCATGCACCCTCACGATCCTCAGCATCATCATCACAACGGGCCCCATAGCCATCAGCATTGCCATTAGTGGAATCAGCACCATCATCATGGTAATCTTCATTATCATTACCACCATCATCGGCACAAGCACCATTAGCATCGCCACCGCCACCACGACCGCCATCCTCATCGTCATCATCACCACTATCATCATCTTCATCGTCCTCGTCTTCAACTTCATCACTATTATTAGCATCATCATGATCAGAATCAACAACATTATCATCATCAGCATCAGCAGCATCATCATCATCAGCAGCATCATCATCATCGTCATCATTGTCATCATCACCATCAGCATCCTCATCATCATCATCATCATCATCATCATCATCGTCTTCGTGATCATCAGCATCAACATCATCATCGTCTTCATCATCACCGTCACCATTAGTGACCCACTCATGCAGAGCATCAACATCACCAACCAATCACCACCACAATTTTATCCTCGTCCTTCCCATCAAAATCCGCCGATCCCTCGGGGTTCTTCGGCGTGTTAGATGCTTCCCCCTCCCCAAACCCCTCCCCCAGGAGCCTGGTCCGGTCGATTTGGAGGCGGGGTCTCCCCTGGCGGCCCGGGAGGGGTACTTTGCTCCAGAAATTATGCCCGGGGGGCATCGAGGGCCTCAAAACGGGCCACGAGGGCCCCAAGAGACCTCCAAGACGGTCCAAGAGGGCCCCGAGTCGCCGAAACACCGTGCAAAGACGCCTAAGATGGCCTCCAGACGGCCCAAGATGTCTCCAAGACGCCCCAGGAGGCTTCGAAGAGGCCCCTCAAGAGGGCCCTAAGAGGCCGAAGTCGTTGATTTCCATTCGTTTTTGTCCAAGGTGTTTGGCTTTCTCGCCTTTTCGGGCTTCCGACGCTCGAAGACGGCCCAAGAGGCCCCTAAGACCGCCCCAAGACGGCCCAAGAGGCCTCCAAGAAGGCCCCAAGACGGCCCAAGAGGGCCCCAAGACGGCCCAAGAGGGCCTCAAGACAGCCCAAGAAGGCATCAAAAGGGCCCCAAGAGGGGCACAAAAAGCGGACCACGGACCGACAATTTTAGCTTTCCGCCGCAAGAGGCCCCTGGGAGGCCCCAGGAGGCCCCCAAGGGGCCCCAAGAGGCCCGCAGGAGACCCCCAAGAGGCCCAAAAGAGGCCCCAAGAGGCCCCAAAACAGCCCCCAGAGGCCTTCAAACTGCCTTGGGCAGGCCTCCGAAAAGCTTCTCACGAGATCCCAACGAACATCCAAGAGGCCTCTGAACCACAAGCCAGGCACGGTGGCGGGATGGGCAGAAGGCCACTCGATATAAATACAAGCATAAACACGCAGCACCCAGAAGCCGCAACAGCGACTCTCCCCCAGGGGGTCGGCGGTGCGGCGTAAGCCATAGAATCATCATCATCATCATCATCATCATCATCATCATCATCATCATCATCATCATCATCATCATCATCATCATCATCACCATCATCAGCAGCAGCATCATCATCATCAGCATCATCATCACCATCATCATTTTCAGAATCCGCATCGTAATAACCATTATCATAATCATCATCGTCAGCATCATCATCATCATCATCATCATCATCATCATCATCATCATCATCATCATCATCATCATCATCATCATCATCATCAGTTTCATCATCATCATGATCACTACCATCAGCAGCCACAATCTCGTCCTCGTCATCGTCATCGTCAGCATCATCATCACCGTCATCAGCATCATCATCATCATCATCATCATCATCATCATCGTCATCATCATCATTCTACTCGATCCTATTCATTATCCTTATCCTCCTGCCCTACCCCCTTCCCATCCCGATGTCAACGACCTGTCACCCTTCAGTATGTGCACTCCACCAGTATACTACCAGCGTTTACTCCTCCTCCTCCTCCTCCTCCTCTTCCTCCTCCTCCCCGTCCTCCTCCTCTCCTCCTCCTCAACCAACTACTCAACCAACTCCGCCTCCCCATCTTCCTCCCCATCCTCCACCCCCTCTTCCTCCCCGTCCTCCTCCCCCTACTCCCCCTCCCCTCGTCCTGAGCCTCGTCCTTCTCATCCTCCTTCTCCTCCTCCCCCTCCTCTTCCTCCTTCTCCTCCTCTTTCTCGTTATCCCCATCTTCCACAATACATTTCCGTGTGCAAGATCCACCCGCGTGGCACTCCCAGGCGTGTTGGTAGGGCGAGCGAGGCGTTTCGCATGCGCCTTCCTCGCCATGTATGATCCTGAAGCTTGAAAAAATGCAACCACTGCACGGATGGAGGGCAGGTCCTGTTCCAAAAGCTGTTCTCACTCAAACTGTGGTTATCGCAGCAGCGCCGCGCATATTCGCCTGAAAGGTTGCAACCGATCGACGGAGGAATGGCAGGTCTGTTTCAAAACGTGGCCCCCGCCTGGGCAAGAGCGGGCACACTCGTCTTTACTGTTCGCAACAGCTTCACGGATTTGGGGCGGGGCTTTTCAAAATGTGGCTCTCGCATTAGCGCCGCACACAGTCGTCTTAACGTCCCCAGCAACTCACGGGTGGAGGGCGGGAATTGTTCAAAATGTGGCTCTCCCTTTTTGCGCCGCGCACGTTCACCCTCAAAGCTTGCAACAACTTCAAAAGGCCAGCACGGGCGAAATCTCCCCCAAAGCAATAATTGTGCTGGCACGATTTGTGACTGTCAGGATACAACAATCATGCTGGCCCGCAGTGCTGAATTCCCAGGAACGTCGTTTTGGTGCGATTTAGATTTGTCCAGACGCAGCCGTCACGTTGATCCGCGGCGTTGAAGTATCAAGAACTTTGTTGTGACACGACCGATGGCTCTCAAACGGTTGTCCACTAATGGGCCACTACCTGCAATGAAAATAATTGTATTCAGGACCCTATGAAGAGGGCGCTTGGCGCTGCTCGGGGGAAGGGTTTATCATTGTTCCGTTTTGATATACACCCCCTCCCCCGCCCGACTGTGGGCCAACCCGAAACATGCCAACCCACCCCCCCCACCCCCACCACCACCATCCCTGTCAAAAAAACAATACATAATGCACCTTGCCTCCAAATCTGGAGCATGCGCGGGGGGGGCGCGACCACTCTGCATTAGCTTTTTACGAGGACGGCGGTGGTGACGTCATATTGCTCGCTGCGCGCAGGACAACCATCCCTGTCAGAAACGATGCAGAATGCAATTTGCCCCCACATCTGGAGCGTGCGCGGGCGCCTCGCGACAACGTTGCATCAATGATTGACAGGGGCGGCGAGGATGCCGTCATATTGCCCGCTGCGCGCAGGCCAGCCATCCATGTGGAAAAAAACGAATGCACGTTGCCTCCACATGTGGGGCGGCATGCGCGGGCGCCCCGCGACCACTTTGCAATGGCGTTTGACAGGGACGGCGGGGGTGTCAGCATATTGCTTGAACGTGGAGCACGTGCCGCACCTGGCGCGCCTGGCTCGCTTAGACCTCCATGGTGCCTGGTGCACCTCGAACCCGTGGCGCACATGGCATGCGTGGCGCTCCTAAGCATTATGCTGAGACTCCCCGTGATTGCCGTTGCCGCTGGCTTGGTGGGACTCTGCCCCACTGGTTTACTCGGGAGTGGTCCAGCGTTCTTGGTCTACCATGTGTATTCTTCCCCGTTGGCCTGCAGCCTAGCACGTTGGACTGCTTATGCAGCCCCGCGCTTCGCCACGCTTGTGGCGCGTCGACCTCTGGCGCCTGGTGCGACAAGGTTCAATTCATCCTTCCTGGTAGTCTCGCCTCTGAGATGCCCGCACGCGTGCCTGGCTCTCCTGGCAGCTCCTGGCAGCTCCTGCAGCCTCAGCCCTCGGCGCAGCTCAGCGTCCATCGGCAGTAGTTCTGCAGCCGCCTGTGCGCGCGCTAGGTTAACTTGGTTTGCTCGTAGCCCGAGCTGACTTGTGACGCCGCTGTGCGCCTTCGCCTGAGGCTGCAACGAAATATGTGTTGGGGGGCGGGTGGGAGTGAGCGAGACGGCGTGCGGGCGAATGGGGGGCCTCGACCCCATCCCCCTACCCCCTCCCCCGGGCTGGGAGAGAGGGGTGGGGGGGGGGCGAGGGTTAGAGCGTCTAAGATGGCCCGAGATGGCCCAAGATGGCCCCAAGAGGGTCTCAGAGAGCCCACGGTGGCCTCCAAGATGGCTCAAGATGTCTCAAGATGGCTCAAGATAGTCCCCGACAAACATCGAAGAGGCCTCAGACGGTTTCAAGTGCCCTCTGGGCCCTCCACGGACCCCCCGAAGAAGCCTAACTGGCTCGAAAACCGAAGGAAAATCAATGTGATGTGCCTTCTCGCCGTTTCGCCTCCGATGGGCTCTTTAGGCCGTACGATGGCCCCGAGGCGACCCAAGAGAGCCCCAAGAGGGGCCCAAGAGGGCATGAAGAAGACCTCAAGAGCGCCCACGAGCGCCCCAAGAGAGCCCCAACACGGGCCTGAATGGATTACTCCCCCCAGGAGGAGGAGGAGAAGGAGGAGGAGGAGGAGGAGGACTCTTGTTGAACAGTGTGCCCAAAATTGCCTCACGAGGCCTCCCAGAACCCCCAAAAAGCCCCAAGGGGGCCCCTAGGCCTCCCACAAGAGCCTCAGGAGGGCCCCAAGAGTGCCCCAAGTGGCTCCGTGGAACCCCCGGAGAGACCCAAGATGGCTCCAAGAGACCTCCGAGAAAAACACGTTTAAGGCGGTTGTTGCACTGCATGCTTCGACACTTCCCTGGTCAAGGCAACGCGCCTGGCGATATGTTCCTGGATGGGCTGGTGGGGGCACGCGAAGCGTCAAGAACTGTCTTAAGGACCCTATGGAGAGGGCGCCAGGGGGCAAGGTGTGTTGTAACATCGGCGATGCGTATTGGGTTTACAATGGTCCTCCAGTTCCTCTTCCTCCTCCTCCGCCTCCTCCTCCCTCTGGGCCATGCTGGGGCCTTCAGGGCGGGGGCCGACTGGCCAACCAGGGACGCGTGGTAGATGAGCCCTGTGGGGCGCGGGGCGCGCGGGAGGCCCCAGGGGGAAGGAGGAAGCGGGGGGGAGGAGGGGGGGGGGAAGAGGACGAAGGAGGAGACGGAGGGAGAAGGTGGAGGGGATGGAGAAGGAAGAAGGAAGGAGGAAGGAGGGAGGATGGAGGAGGAAAAACGAAGAAGAGGGGAGCAAAGGGAGGAGGAGGTCGCGCCCGACCCCGCGCGCGCGGGGGGGGATGGAGAAGGCAGATGGCAGAGGCGAAGAAAATGAAGGAGGGGAGGACATGGAGGAGGAATGGGGGGAAGGAAGGAGTAGAAGAGGAAACAAAACCATACAGGCATAACCTTCGAGGGGAAAGCGTGCTGATTTCTTGGATCGGCGCTGGGTCCCCCTGGCGGCGCCCCCAAAGGAGCCCAACGACGATCCGAGAAATCGGCGAGGACATCCGACAGTATGGGGTTCGGAAGCTCTTTGTTATTCGAAAGAAGAAAAGGAGGAGGAGGAGGAGGAGGAGGAGGAGGAGGAAGATGAAGAGAAGAGGAGGGGGAGAGGAGAATGGCGGAGAAGGGGGAGGAGGGACGGAAGGATCAAATGTGATTAGCTGGTGCCGAAGTTCATGCACCAGTATCTCTGAACACCTGGGGGGGAGCGGGGGGGGGGCACCGAAGCAATTTGCCTGTGACGGGAGGCTGCCCTTTCCACCGACGGTGTCAGCGGTCTTTAGCTGGTGAAAGAAGATGTTTGCATCCAAGTGGAAGGAGGTGGAAGACAAAGGGGAAGAAGGGGAGAGCGGGAGGAGGGTAAAGAGGCAGGGAGAGGGGGAGGAGGAGGAGGAGGAGGAGGAGGAGGAGGAGGAGGAGGAGGAGGAGGAATAGGAGGAGGAGGAGGAGAATGAGGAGAATGAGGACATACCTGCCGCTAGCTTCGAATCTGGAGGGTGGATGCGAGCAGGATAAGCGGGGGGATGATAATGATGATGATGATGATGATGATGATGATGATGGTGATGATGATGATGATGATGATGATGATGATGATGATGATGATGATGATGATGATGATGATGATGATGATGATGATGATGATGATGATGATGGTGATGATGATGATGATGGTGATGATGATGATGCTGATGCTGATGTAGATGCTGATGCTGATGCTGATGCTGATGCTGATGCGGATGATGATGATATCGGAGATGAAGATGATGCTGATGATGATGATGCTGATGATGATGATGATGATGATGCGGGTGGTGATGATAATGATGACGATGCTGATGACGATGTTGATGATGATGATGATGATGGTGCTGGTAATGATGCTGGTGATGACGCGGTGATGATGTTGATAATGGCCACGATAGTGTGATGGCGGTGATGATGGCGGTCACGGTGATGGTGGTAACGCTATTGATGTCAATGGTGATGATGATGATGATGATGATGATGATGATGATGGTGGTGGTGATGACGATGATAATGTTGGAAATTGTGATGATGATGATGATGATGACGATGGTGATGGTGATGCTAAAAATAACCGTACTATTACCATTAAAGAATCAGTAGCCGCAGTAGTAGACTTAAGATTATTAGTAACACAAATGAATAAATAAATCGTACTGGCACCAATTATAGTAGCAGTATTTACACGAATGCTAATGCTGGCATAAACCTAAGTAGCCAGAAATAACAAAACAAATAGAACTACTACTACTACTAATACTGAGATGAACGACGATATTAATGGCATTCAAAACAACAACCATAATGTTGATACTAATAATTATGGTGATGTTGACGACGACGGTGACGGTGGTGATGAAGATAGCATGCCTTAAAAGGCAGGCTATCTGGATGCATCGTCCTTTCAATACGTGGTGAAAGATCACTCGTCGCGTGGATGTGTATGTCCATATCGTCCATGAGATGTTGTGGCATATGCGCATGATGTGTCGGCATCTTGTCCCAGTTGGGTTGTGCATTGGTGTCCGCCCAAAGCTACCATACATAGTGATTTCTCTCGAGCGCGCAACTCTTGATCCTGTCCACGTGTTCCAGCCCTTCACAATGCCAAAGGAAGAGGAGGAGGAGGAAGTTTGATCTCGCCTTCTTCGGATGCGGAGGAGAAGGAGGGAGGGAGGAAGAGGACGAAGGACCTCCACCGCACTGCCCATGCCACGGGCAGGGTACACGGTGCAAAAAGCCCGCGCAGCCGCGGAGACCCCCTTGCAAAGGCGAGGTCATCCACCGCCCCCTCCCACGGGTAGAGCGGAAGGCTGAGCGGTCCCGAGGACCCCCCCACACTGGGGGAGCGAGGCTCTCCACCGCGCTGCTCCCCCAGTGGGCAGAGCAGAAAGCCGAGCGGTCGCGAACCCCCCCCCCCGAGGGAGCGAGGTCCTCCACCGCACGGCCCGCAAACGCCGAGAGGTCGCGAGAGGCCCCCTGGGAGAGCGAGGCCCTCCGCCACGCTGCAAGGGCAAGCAGAACTGCCGTGCGGTCACGGGCTGCCCTCCTCAGAGAGCGAGGCCCTCCACCGGACTGCCGTTCCAGGGCAGGCCGGGAAGGGGGGAGGAAGGGGGGAGGAGAAAGGGGGCGAGAAGGGGAGGGCGCTCGACAAGAAAGCGATCTGGCTTGTGCAGACCAACGCGGCCAGCGCCAAGACGCCACTGGGGCTCAGCGCCGATCCAGGATATCCGCGCGGACCTCCGAGGGTGCACGCTCGGGCCGCGCACTGTTTTTCTAGAGGGTGCGGGGGAGGAGGGGAGGAGAAGGGGGAGGGGGAAGGGAAGGGGGAGCGGGAGGAGGGGAAAGAGGAGGAGCAGCAGGAGGAGCAGGAGGAGGAGAAGAAAGAGGGGGAAGAGGAGAAAGGGGAGGGAGAGGAGGAGGAGGAGGAAGTTTGATCTCGCCTGCTTCGGATGCTACAGACACATCAAACTGGTAGCGATGGTGATGAGGATGCCGATGTGTGGCGTATGGCTCGAAGTCACGCGGCAACGCGTGGGTGCCACCACAGAACAACACGGCACAGCGGCCGCGATTGTCAACAGGTGCAGGGGTCAGAGATGTGACGCGTGCGCCCGGAGGAGGCGTAGGGAGGGCCCACCGAGGAGGGCCAGGCGGCGATGATGAGCATCAGGGGAAGGAGGGCAAGGAGGAAGAGGAGGAAGAGGAGGAAGAGGAGGGGGACCAGTGCAAACCCAAGACGCATCAACGATGTTCCAATAAACCCTCCCTCCAAATTCCCTTTTCGCTAACCCCTACAATTATGAATTCTAAGCGCGGGAAGCCCCCCATTGGAAGACAACCGTCTGAGAGTCCTCAACCGTGCCCACAAACAGTCCGAGGGACCTCAACGCCGCTAATCAACGTGACTGTTGCGTCCTGGCAGTCATACGGCGTGCCAGAGCACCTTCCTGGGACTTCAACAGGACGGCCCACGGCGCGCGCAGCGCCAAGGCGAGAGCCGCGCTTTGAAAAGGAACCACCCTCCATCTTTGAAACCGCCGCAAACTGCTAAAACGAATGCGCGCGGCGCTGAGGCGAGAGCCATATTTCCAAAAGGAACCGCCCTCCATCCTCGAAACTGCTGCAAAGACGAATGTGCGCTGCGCTGAAACAAAAACCACATTTTGAGAGAGAACCGCCCTCCATCACTAAAACTGTTACATCTTTCGAGCTTCAGGATCACAAATGGTGCGAAGTCTCAGGCGAAACGCCCTGCCCGCCCTTCCAACCCGTCTGGGGGTGCAGCAGGGAGGAGCTATTGATCAGGAAAACGGATGGAGGAGGAGGAGGAAGAGGAGGAGAGTGAGGAGGAGGAGGAGGAGGAGGAGGAGGCGGAGGCGGAGGAGGAGAGGGAGGACGAGGAGGAAAGAGGGAAGGACGAGGCCCTGGGGCTCGACGGGCTCACTCCCTGCGCCCCTCCCTGCTCCCCCTGCCCTCCCTGGAGAACTGGCGGGGGTCCGGAAGATGAGCGGGAGAGTCGAGACACACGTTGACTCGGCGCGAGCCCAGGAAGTGACGCAACGCCGACGACGACTACGACAACGACGACGACGACGACGACGACGACGACGACGACGACGACGACGACGACGGCGATGGCGACGACGGCGACGACGGCGACGACGACCGACGACGACGACGACGACGACGGGGACAGGGGAAGGAGGAGAAGGACAGAAGGGCGAGGCTGTGGGGCTCAATTGGCTCACTCGTTCCCTCCCTCCCTGCCCCCCCCTCCCTTCCCTACCTTATCCTTCCCTCGTCCCCTCCTCCCTCCTCCCTCCTCCCTGCCTCCTGCATCCTCCTCACTCCGTCCCTCATTCCCTCTTTCCTCCTCATCCCTCCTTCTCCTCCTTCCCTCCCTCCCTTCCTCCCTTCCTCCATCCTTCCCCTTCCCCACCTCCTCCTCCAGTATTTGCCCTCACAGTCCTTCACCTCCTCCCCCTCCCCTGCTCATCCACCTCATCCTGAGCCTGTTTCCCTTGGTAAATCCTTCCCTCCTCATTGCTCTTCCTCCTCTTCAATCCCCAATTCTGCATCAATGCTCACTCCATCTTCTACAAAAGAAGGGTCGCACCATACTTGGGCGTAGACTTCTTCGTCTTCAGAGCCCTGAAGAGGGCCTGTCAACAGGCGGAGGAGAATAGAAAAAGCGAGGAAGGAGCTCCTGCTGGCTCCTCTTCTTCTTCCTCCTCCTTCTCATCCTCATCGGCGTCGCCATCGTCGTCATCAGCATCGTCATAATCATCATAAGCATCATCATCATCACCACCACCACCATCATCCTCATCCTCATCCTCATCCTCATCATCATCATCAGCAGCAGCATCATCATAATCGGCATCATCCTTATCAGCATCGTCAGCATAATCAGCATAAGCATCATCAGCATCAGCATCATCAGCATCACCACCACCATCGTCATCATCGTCATAAGTATCACCATCATCCTAAGCATCATCGTCATCATCAGCAGCATCAGCATCAGCATCATACTCATCATCATCAGCAGTAGCATCATCATTATGAATTTCAACATCATGCTCATCATCATGACCGTCACCGCAACCATCACCATCAACGCATTCATCATCATCAGTAGCATCCGAATCATCATCAGCATCATCAGCCGCATCATCATCAGCAGCATCACCATCATCATCATCATCATCATCATCATCATCACCAGCATCAGCATCATCATCATCATCGTCATCATCATCATCATCAGCAGCATCGTCATTATCGTCGTCATTGTCGTCGTCATTGTCAGCATCATCAGCATCAGCATAAGCAGCAAAAGCAACCTCATCATCACCATCACCATCATCAGCAGCATCAGCATATTCGGCTTATTATTCTTCATCATCATCGTCATCTGCATCAGCATCAGCAACATCATCAGCATCATCACCGCCAGCATTATAAGCATCATCATCAGCATCACCTTGAACATGACAAGCTAAATCAGCATCATCAGTATCATCATCATCATCAGCATCATCATCATCCTAAGTAACACCAGAACCATTACAACCGTCAGCATCGTTACCTGCATCGCCACCGTCGCAAGCATCATCGCTATCAGCATCAGCATCATGTTCATCAGCATCATCAGCATCATCAGCATCATCAGCATCATCAGCATCGGCAACATTCTTACAAGCAACATCATAATCGTCGTCATCTTCACCATCATCGCCACCATCATCACCGCCACCATCAACATCACCATCACCATCATCATCATCATCATCATCATCATCAGCAGCAGCACCACCACCACCACCACCACCATCATCATCATCATCTTCATCCTAAGCATCACCATCAGCATCATCATCATCACCGGCATCATTATCAGCATCAAGAACATCATCGTCAGCAGCATCGTCATCGTCGTCATCGTTACATCATCCCCCTTCCCATGACTGTCATGTTCACTCGGGAGCGGCACGCGCATAGTTGTGAGGGCGTGTACATACTTTATTGGACATCAGTTTCCTGAAGTGCCTTGCTCTTCCTGCTCCTTCCCCACCCCCATCGTCCATCTCGTGTTCATCGTCCTCTTCTTTCCTCCCTCTCATCTGCCTTCTTCCCCCGCCCCCACCCTCCCTCTTCTCATTATTATCCGCCCTCCTCCTCCTCCTCCTCCTCCTCCTTGTCCTCCTCGCTCGCTCGCTCGCTCGCTCGCTCTTCCTTCTTCCTCCTCCTTCCTGGCCATGCCTCCTCCTCCCCCCGCCGATCGCTGCCCCCGGCTGGGCCGCCCAGCTGCTTCCAGGCGGGCGGGGGCCAGGACCGACAGGCGGATGGCGGCCTGCTGGGACGGTCGAGGGCCCCCCCGCCCTGCCTTTGCGTCGCACAGCTGTCTCTACGTCATCAGTGCGTGCATCGTGCTGTGCTGCGCCCGCAGGCTGGCGATGAGCCTCCATGAGTCCGCGAGTCCTTGAATCGGATTCGAGGGATCGCGGACGAATAGGGAGGAGGGGGGGGATTCAATGAATACCCCCCCTCCTCACTATTCGTCCTCCCACCTCCCAACAAGGCAGGCCATGCCTTCTCAGCGCCGAGGATCTGGACGGTGCTGGACGGGTGCTTCGCCAGGCTCATCAGCGACCTTCCCGGGAGGCAAGGAGGAGGACGGGCGAGGGAGGGAGGGAGGAAGGGAGGACGAGCGAGGGAAGGAAGGAGCGAGGAGGACGACGGAGAGAGGGAGGGAGGGAGGAAGGGAGGGTGTGGAGAGGCGAGGTGGACATGGGGAGGAGGCGGACGAGGACGAGGCTGAGGGCGAGGTGGAAGGAGGGCGGGAGGGAGAGAGGAGAGAGACGAAGGTGAACAACCTCAGCGCCCCCAGCAAGGCAATGCCGACGTGGGGGGGGGGGGGGGGGGGCGAATGTCAAGAGACCTGGCGACTACCAACGAACGCTGGAGCCCAGGCTACCTCCCGTCGCGCCGAGGCCGCCCCGCCTAGCACTGATTCGTCCACAACACGTAATTGAAGATAACGTGTGCGGGCGGAGGGGGAAGCGGAGGCGGGCGACGACGGCGACGGGAAGCAATGGTAACTACGCGGCTATCTTCGCGCCCGTCGTGGGGCGAAGGCCACGCTCGACCCTCCTCCTCCTCCACCCTCATCCTCCGCCTTCTTCCTCCTCCCTCCTTCACGTCCTCCTTGGCAGCTTTGTAATTCGCCTCCCTCCTCCTCCCTCCGCTTCCACCCTCGCCACCTTCTCCGTCGACGCATCCTCATCCCCCTCCCCCTCCTCCTCCCTCCACCCTCTCGACAGCAGCAGCGACGGCGACGGTGGCGGCAGCGGCGGCCTCTGGATGCCTCGGGACGTCCCAGAAACGGCCAGAAACCCCAATCACCGATCGTCAAAGATGGCGGCGACGACGACAAGACAAGACAAGACAAGACAAGACAAGACAAGACAAGACAAGACAAGACAAGACAAG